CTCGAGGGGACGTCGTTGGCGCCTCCTTGGGGTCTCCCCAAGACCACCTCTCGGCGTCGCCGCCCGCGAGCCTACCCGTGGGACCTCGAAGGAGCCGCTTGGGCTCTGTTGGCGGGCCTCCGGGGCCGTCTAAGCAGTCCTCTTGGGGTCGTCTCGGGCTGTCCTGGGTGGTTCGGGGGCTCTCGTGGGGTTCCCTGGAGCGCCTCCTGCGCCGCAGTAGCCGCAGTGGTGAACCCCAACGCGTGGTTGCTGACACTGCATTCTCCTTCGGCAATTTCTCAATTTGGGCCTCCCGAAATTGTCTCCGGGAGCATCAGGACAGGCTCCGGAGGCGTCTCGGGGCCCTGCAGGGCCTACTTGAGATACACATGAGGCGTCTTGGAACACTCTGTGGGCGTCTTGGACGTTCCTTGGGTGGTCTGGACGGCCTCAGGGCCCCTCTGGGTCTCATCCGTGGAGGCTCCCACGCTGCCTGGGGAGGCCGTTTGGGGTCGGTTTGGGCCGTCTTGGGCGTTCCATGGGCCGTCGTGGGGATCCCTGGAGCGCCTCGTGCGCAGTCGTAGACGCAGTGGAGAGCCCGAACGCGCGATTGCTGGAAACGTCGGTCGTCCGTAAGGAACTGCCCAATTTGGGTCTCCCAGCCCCAAAAAGGCACCGAATCGCTCCAACATCTCCGCCAGACGCTCACCGAGCCCTCCAGGTGGCCCCACCACTGACAAAGACGACGACGACGACGACGACGACGACGACGACGACGACGACGACGACGACGACGGCGACGACGACGACGACGGCGCGCGAAAGAAGCATAGTCGGGCGGGCGAGCGGGACATGGGATGCACCTGGCACTCGGTGATGGGACGGCGTCGACGGAAGGTCGGCAGGAGTGTCTAAGGGCATCTCGAGGGGAGCTTCGAAAACCTCTCAGTAACTTATTGGGGCCTCTTGGGGGCCTCTTGGGAGCCGTTTGGGGCCTCTTAGAGGGCTCAAAGGGCGGACAGCTCGAGATGTCCGTTCGTGTTCCGCTTCTGGGGTCCCTCTTGAGGCGGTCTCGGGGCCCTCTTGGGCTGCCTTGAAGGTCTCTGAGGCCGTCTGGAGGGCCTCTTGGGTCGTCTCGGTACCCTCTTGGGGGCATCCGAAACCGCGTTGGGAAAAAAAATAGAGCCTCCGGGACCGTCTTGGAGCGTCGGGAAGCCGAAAAAGGAGAAACATATATATATATATATATATATATATATAACAATGGCTTGCCTCGTGCGACCCTTTTGGGAGCGCTCTTAAACAACATTCGGGCAATGTTGGAAACCTTTCGGGCCGTCTGGAGGCCATCTTGGACGTGTTAAAACCAGACTTCGGCAGGCGATGGGCCCTCTTGGAGGCATCCTGGGCCCTCTTTCGTGTGTTCTGGGGCTATCTTGGGCCGCCTGGGGGCGCCCCTGGCGGCCCGGTCCCGCCATGCGCTGTCGGGGGCCCCCTCCCAGGCCCCCCCGCCTCGTGCCCAGTCATATATACATACATCGATACATACACATATGTATATATATATATACACACACACATAAATACATACATACATACATACATACATACATACATACATACATACATACATACATACATACATACATACATACATACATACATACATACATGCATGCATGCATGCATGCATGCATGCATGCATGCATGCATACATATATGCACATAAGTATATATACGACCGCCCTGCGGGCGATAAGGAGGTTGGGGGGGATTGAGATCAAATGCCCACCCTGACTGACCTCCAGCCTGTCACCTTGGGTTGGATGGATTGGACTGGGTGGCATACGATAAGATGGGACAAGATGGGTTGGATAAGGTAAGATGGATTGTATTGGACAAGATGGATTGGAGAAGATAAGTTGGATTGGATAAAAGGCCCGCCGCAAACGCCGAGAAAAATGAATTGATGGATTGGGTTGGGCGGATTGGATTGGATGGGATGAGATGGACTGGATAAGATAAAATGGGTTGAATTGGAATAAATGGATTGGATGAGATTGGATGGATTGGATTGGCCCGCCGCAGGCGCAGAAACAAATGAATTGATGGATTGGGTTGGGTGGATTGGATTGGGTGGAAGATAAGATGGGACAAGATGGGTTGGATAAGGTAAGATGTATTGGATAGGACAAGATGGATTGGAGAAAATAAGCTGGATTGGATAAAAAGGCCCGCCGCAGGCGCCGACAACAATGAATTGATGGATTGGGTTGGGCGGATTGGATTGGATGGGATAAGATGGATTGGATAAGATATGATGGGATGGATTGGAATAAATGGATTGGATAAGGTAAGATTGATTGGGTTAGACAAAATGGATTGGAGAAGATAATATGGATTGGATAAGAAAGCCAGCCGCAGGCACCGAAAAAAATGGATTATGAAATCAGCGACATGCGTTAGCGCCGGGACACCCGGGACACCCGGGACACCGCCTGGCCCAACCGGGACACCTCCTGGCCACCGGCGGACAGGAAACGGACTTTCGTTCCTACTGACACCTGGGGTACCCGGGGCACCGCCCGGCCCAACTGGGACATCTCCCAACCACCGGCGGACGGGAACAGACTTTCGCTCCTACTTCGGCCTAGCTACAGGAGGATCACGCGCAGCTTCGCCTCGCCCGCCTGCACGACACGAACACGAAACACAAACCGATTTCCCGGTGGGGCGCGTCCGTTTCACTGCAATCTCACCCCCTAAATTCCGATATATATATATATATATATACACACCTATACGACCACCCTTCGGGTGATAAGGAGGTTCGGGGGGGGGAACCAACGTCTCATTCGATCGGTCTCACTATCGATCTCAGTATCGATCTCACTATCGGTCTCGCTCGATCGATCTCACTCGATCGATCTCGCAATCGATCTCACTCGATATATCTCATTCGGTCGATCTCACAATTGATCTCACAATCGATCCCACAATCGATTACACAATCGATTTCACATTCGGTCTCAATATCGATCTCACTATCGATATCACAATCGCTCTCACAATCAACGTCATCATCATCATCATCATCATCATCATCATCATCATCATCATCATCATCATCAACATCATCAACATCAACATCATCACCAACATCGTCATCATCATGAGGGCACCGTCATCATCATCATCATCATCATCATCATCATCATCATCATCATCATCATCATCATCATCATCATCATCATCATCATAATCATCTTCATCAACGTCAGCATCATCATCGGGACAACATCATCATCATCACCATCATCATCTCATCATCAACATCATCAACATCATCATCATCATCATCAGCATCATCATCATCATCATCACCAGGACACAGTCATCGTCATCATCATCAGCAGCATCATCATAATCATCATGATTATCGGGACACCATCATGATCAGCATCGTGCTCATCATCAACATTATCATCAACATCTTCATCATCCTCGGGACACCATCATCATCATGATCAACGCATCATCATCATCGACATCATCATCAACAACATCATCATCATTGGGGCACCATCATCATCATGATCAACATCATCATCAACATCGTCATTATCATTATTATCATCATCGGGACACCATCAGCATCACCATCATCATCATCATCACCATCATCATCATCATCAGCATCATCATCGGGACACCATAATCATCATCAACATCATCATCACCAACATCATCGGATCATCATCATCATCATCATCATCATCATCATCATCATCATCATCATCATCATCATCGGGACACCATCATCGTCATCATCATCAACATAATCATCATGAGCATCATCATCCTCATCATCGGGACACTATCATCATCATCGACACCATCATCAACATGATCATCATCTTCATCGGGGATCATCCCATCATCATCATCATCATCATCATCATCATCATCATCATCATCATCTCATCTCATCATCATCCGCGGGACACCGCGGGACACCGGCGGGACACCGCGGGACACCGCGGGACACCGCGGGACACCGCGGGACACCGCGGGACACCGGCGGGACACCGCGGGGCCCCGGCCGCCCGGAAGGGAATCATTTGGTCCGGCCGCGCCTCAGCCACACGGGACACCAGCGGGACACCGGCGGGACACCGCGGGGCCCCGGCCGCCCGGAAGGGATCATTTGGTCCGGCCGCGCCTCAGCCACAGGAGACTTTTTCTCGCCCGCCCACGCAGCTTCGCCTCGCACGCACGGCACGCACGAACACGAAACCGAAACCGATTTCCCGGTGGGGGGCTCGCCGTTCCACTTCGATCTCACCCCCTCACCTCCGATATGTATATATATATATATATACATACATACATACATACATACATACATACATATGTATGTGCATACGTAAATGCACACATACATACACACGTACGTACATACAAACATACATACACACATACATGCATGAATACATGCATGCATACATACATACATACTTATACCATGATCATAGAAGGGCTGCGGTTCTGGAAATTCCCAAAGGCTGCCTGCCTGGACCAAAGCGGTGGCTGACACCTTTTCGAACGCGAGGCTGCTCCCAGCTTGCTGTATCGGATGTCTTTAATTAAACACACGCATTTATATCACATTCAGCGGACAAGGAACTCACGCCACTGAAAGAAAGGCCCACGGTGGGTCGGGTGGGAGCCCTGGCAAGTGCTTGAGGGCAGACACTTGCACAGCACACCCCACCCGCCCGCCTCGAACACAACATCTCATTAATACACGTGCATGCTGCTCTCTCCCATACGGATCACTGGGGGGCGGTAGTTCTGGAAATTCCCAAAGCCTGCCTGCAACTGAAGACCGGCTCAAAGCGATGGCCGACTCCTTTTCGGACGCGAAGCTGCTCTCAGCTCGCTGTATCGGATGTATTTAAACGGACAACGCTTGCCTGAACCTACATATATATATATATACATATATATATACATATATACACACATATATATATATATTCGTACCACACAATCGGCGGACAAGGACCTCACGCCACTGAAGGAAAAACCCGACCCTGGCACGCGCTTGCAAAACACACATCCAACACAACAGGAGTCAGCCCAAACCCGCCCCTGCGAGAGTCATCAACGAATTGAGAAACCATATTCAAGCAACACTACAGCGACGCGCCCTGCCCACTGAACGGCCATGAGCACCTGGCGCAACCCTCTGCGCACCCGAGCCTCGAGGCCTCCAAAAACAAAAACGTGCGCAACGGGGCCCCGCTGGATGTGCCAGTCGGGGAGCGCAAAAAAGAGCATATTGAGTCAGTTATTCAGGGACTCTGCACCCTGCTCATGCCCTATACTGGGGTCCAACTCGAGAGCTGACCAGAGAGGGTTCACCCAGGCACTCGAAACTGGCGCCAGCGACACCCCACTGGATGCCGGAGCGTCCGCCCTGGAGGATGACTGCCCCAAAAAAACAAATGCACGGAGAAAAAGAAAAAAAAATGTCAGGACAGCACGCGAGTGGAGCCTGAAATCAGCGGTTGCCTCATGGACACTGCCCTGGCCGCCTGGATCAGCGCGGCCCTCTCTGAGCCGGCCAGCATCTGGACCGCCTCGTCTCCTGAAGCCCCCAGCCAGGTCACCAGCACATCGCCATCGTCAGTCGCAGTACGTCGCTGCCAGGCCGTCGCAGACACGTCGCACACGTCAACTCCTCGCCAAAACTCCGGTGACGATGTCAGGGAGGACCGGGCCACTCCCAGGAGAAACGTCAAAGCTGATGATGTCATCGAAGAGGCGGCCTGCATACCCGAGCTCATGATCGAGCTAGCGGACTCGGTGACAGACGCCACTGAGCCCAGCACCATGGAGACGAGCGCGAGGGGCCCGAGTCCCAACCAGGAGGCGAGGGCGAGCACGGTCGGGGCTGCGCCCCCCTTGGTCGGCACGGCTGCGGCCAGCCCAACTCCGCCCCAGCGCCGCGCGCGCCCGGCCCAGGTCCTGGCCTTGCCTGGGCGGGCCGTGACCGAGCGCCTAGGAGCCGCGCGCGGTGCCAGTCGGCGCGCCGCTCGCCGCGCCCGACCAGCCGGGGGGCCCTGCTGGCCGCGGCGCCGCCCGAGCAGAGGTGCAGGACCCCCGGCTGCCTGGCGCCCGGAGCGGGGAATCTCAGGTCCAGCTCCAGGGCGCAGGCCGGCAGCGAGGCGCCCCGGAAGTTGACGGCGAGGTAGGCCCCGTCCGGGAGTCCGGGCCTGGCGCCCCCGCCTCGACGACCTCGCACAGCGCCGCGCCGCCGACCTGGCCCGTCGGGTCGTGCGTCGGCGTCTCCAGCGCCATCCCAGCCGTGAAGGCGCCGTGCTGAAGGGCTGGCGAGCCCATCCATGGGCCGTCCACCAGCCGCGCCAGCGCCGCCGCGCCGCCTCCAGCGGGCGCCGGCCCCGCAGCGGCCGCCACGGCCGCCGCGACGCCACCTCCAGCGCCGGCAGCAGCCGCCCCTGGCAGCGCGAGGGGCCCAGGCGCCGGCGGCGCGCCAGGGGGGGGGCCCGCCGCCGGGAGCAGGCAGCGCCGCCAGGGCGCCCACGAGGGCCGCGCCGACCCCAGCAGCCCCAGCAGCAGCGCCGGGCGGGGCCCCAGGCGCGTCGCCACCAGGCGCGGCACCCGGCGGGCCTGGCAGCGCCCCGGCCGCGACCCCCAGCGGGGGAGAGGCCGGCAGCAGCGCAGCGCCTCCGCCGCCAGGGGGAACGGCAGCGCCGAGGGGGGGTAGCGCAGCAGGCCCCGCGCCGGGGCCGCCTGCTGCCACACCCGCGCCCCCCTGGGCGCGCCCTCGGCCGCGGCCGGCCGCCGTGGCACCTCTGCCGCCGCCGCGTCCTCGGCCACGAGCGGGCTGCCGCATCGGCCTTGCCCTTCGCCTCGGCCTTAGCCTTGGGGGGCATCCTCCGCCAGCCCAGCCAGCGCCGCCAGGAGCGCCGTCAGGTGGCGCGCCTGCTCCAGCAGCACGCAGCACCGCCCGCTCGCCCGGCGTCAGCCGGGCGCGCCAGGCGCGTTGCCGCGCCAGCGCGCGGAGGTAGCACAACTCGCACACCTCCCAGAGCTCGCCGTTCAGGGCGAGCGCCAGGGACTCGCCGGGCCCCAGCCGCCCAGAGCACCACCCGCAGCATCGCACGGGCGGCCGCGGAGGCCACTCCCGCGGCGGTCCAGGAAGCGCCGGGACCGCCTCCTGGATGGGCCCCCAGGCTGGAGGCGGGGGCCCGTCGCCAGAATCAAACATGCCCCGCAGGGCCGAGAAAAGCCTGAAAGGCTGAGTCACAACAGCGGATGCCATGCATTCTGCTTCTCGGCCATGATCACCCCGCACCCCCTGTTCTCCCTCCACCGACTTATCTACCGCAAGCGTTTATATATAATATAATATACTATAATACAATATACTATAATGTAATATAATATAAAATATCATAATATAATATAATATAAAATATAATATAATATAATATAATATGATATACTATAATATAATATAATACAATACAATATAACAGCATATAATATAATACAATATAATATAATATTATATTATGATATGTTATATAATATAAGAAAATACAATATTATATTTTATAATATAATATAATATAATATAATATAATATAATATAATATAATATAACATAGCATAATATAATAAATGTAATATAATATAATATAATATATATAATATAATATAATATAATATAATATAATATAATATAATACAATACAATATGATATAATATAATATAATATAATATAATAGAATGTAGTATAATATAATGTAATATAATATACTATAATATACTATAATATAATATGATATAATAAAATATAATATAATAAGGTATTATAACATAATACACTTTAAAATAATATAATATGATGTAATATAATATAACGTAATGTAATATAATGTAATAATGTCATACATATAATATATATATAAGAAATATAGATTGGACACTCGCGATGGACCTCCGAATTTGGCATCGCTGCGATCGAAGCCGGATTGCAGCATTCAGGAGCGATTGACCCACATCTGGCACAGTTGATGGCCGAGTCGCAGCGCCGCACGTGCTTCGGGGTCGGTCACTCGGACAAGTTTAGAGGAAGTCTACGATGGGATATCGCCTGGACAGGGAACAGCCGTCTCTCGGTTTAACGCCGTTCTGACGCGTCCTCTTAGCGTGGTGGTAGATCGGCTAGGATAAGAAAGACTTCTGCTCGAATGTGCCTTGCATGATAATGGCCCGCCGGCTGTGAGGATGCAGGATGATGAGTGCGAAACCGCGGCTGGTATGACACGTCTGCAATATATCAAAACCCCGACAATCCTGGACAACAATGAAGTATTCAATCATCTGAAGGTGGCCATGCACGTTCTTCATGAGTCGTCTGCGGCGCAACTTCAAGAGCCGAACGATGGTCGGGGAAAGAATTGTGCTAGAGGTCAGCTTCGTGGTCCACTTCGCGAGCAGCTCCGATCATAACTGCATCGAGAGCATAGGTTTAGCTTGGCAAGCGTGCGTCTCACATTGATGAGGAAGCAATACAAGCACACATGATCGATCATTCCGCTCGACAGCTCGTGGCGGCCCGAAGCTACACAACGGACGCAAGAGCACGGACATGCAAAAGGGTCCAGTTCAACACAGCATTATCACGAAACCAAACATTGACATGCGGGTAAAAATGATGCATGCCGAGGCGTTGACATGGTCGCGGCTCTTCCAGCAGCTCGAGATAGGGCATGGACTGAAGCACTCGAAGTAATAACGTCCTGAGGCGGCACGCATGCCTCTAAGCGTTGCGATCAGCGACTGGCATGGTACACGCGACGGGCCCTGACATGCACTTCTGTAATGCACGGGTGCTTGTCGTTTCTGGGCGCCCCAGCCTGCAAACATTGCGACGGATTCGCAGATAGAGAGATGTTGAGTGCGTGGTGGACCGCGGACCTGCGACTCTGCATGCCCTGGTGGTTACAGGCGGCACGAGTGATTCTTGGATGGGATTGGTTGTCGACGACTTGCAGTGGCTAAATCATACTGTAGTGGAAAGAGCCGTGGGTGTCCAACCTACAGCGGGTCGGCCTGTCATCATTCAACAAAAAACGCAAATATCTGCATCTGCAGGGTCAACAACAAGCTTGGAATCCAATGTCCTTTCAATTGTGCCGCCGCCGCCGACTACCCAAGACAACAACCGGAGGTTTCTGTGTTTCGAGCGCGGGGCAACTTTCAAAACTCAGCAAACGTGGCGATCATATCGGTTCGTGAGCACGGAGGAAACGTCGTCGCATGTTTGTTATGCTGACACGGGGTATTGCCGTGTCTGTGCTTCAGGTTGTCACACACGGAAGAAAATCTGAACGTTTGCTGATGAGACTGACGGCGCCACCACCATCGCCGTACTTTTATGACGAGGTGGAGGACAAGGATGTCAAGGAGACAGCACGCTTGAAGACGGCTGCTGACCCTGAAGCATAAGCTTCATGTCCTCCGGCGCGTGGCCCCGCATACTCACAATGGCATCGAGGAATCGAGAAATACCAGTTTGAACCACCAAGTGTGCAGGTACCATATGAACAAGTGGTACAGGTCATACTTCCTCTGGTTGTGGTTGACGATGAAAGCAACGCGGATGTATTTTGCATATACGATGGGAAGTGTCCAAGAAGACAGATCACTGATTCCTGAAATTGACAAACGCAGATGGCTAAACTCTCAAGTGCGCGAGCTGACTGTGCGTAACTTTGGCGTGGACGAGACCATTAGTCAAGGCGTAATCAATGGTCTCATCAGAGATACTTGAGCAAACCGAAAGATTTTCCCCTTGAGGCCCAGATGACAAATTCGAAATGTCGTTGGCTTTAGCGGATGCGGACGCAACGATCATATCGCGCTCGCTTCGAGGTGGGGTGCGGCATATGTTATGGGAGGCAGCGGGAGTTTGCCAGGCCCGGTGTGGCGCTCGAGCGCCCGCATGTTATGGAGGCTGCGGGAGTTGGCCGGGGCAGCTGTGGCGCTCGAGCAACGACATGTTATGGGACGGGTTCGGAGAGGCGGCCAGGCCCGCGGTGGCGCTCGAGCTCCCGACTTGGGCACCGCGGTCGTTTTCCCTCCTCCTCCCTCCTCCCTCATCCGCCTCTTCCGGGCTCTTCGTTTGCCCTCTTCCTCTTTTTCGTCTCTCCTTTTGTTCCTCGTCGTCGTCCTCTCCTTCCTCTCCGTCCTTCCTCCCTCGTCATCCTCTTCGCCCGCCCCTGGTTTGTGCTTCCATATTTGTCCCCGTGCGTTGTGTCTCTCGGTAAGGAAACCCCTCCCCCGTAGAATCATAGTTTGGGCTGCAGGTCCAAGGCTCCGTGGATCCATTTCCCCTTGGGTCCCTTTGTATTACTTAGAAAAATTATTCCAAGAAAAGAATTGGATCCACGAAGCTTCCACGCCAAAAAAATGGATCCAGAACGCACGGAAATTGGATCCACGTGACTCTCGCACACACGTACTTGCATCCAAATGGATCCTTGCGTTCCCACGCAAGAGGAAAAAACCTTCGGCCTGGGGATGAAGAGTTTTGAGCCCCTTCTGCCCTTCAGCACAGGGGCGGTGGTGGTACGTGTTGGCGGGGGACACGGGGGTCAAAATCTGCACCCCTTCTGCCCTTCAGCACAGGGGCGGTGGTGGTACGTGTTGGCGGGGGAGACGGGGATCAAAATCCCAAGAGTTCTGCACCCCTTCTGCCCTTCAGCAAAGGGGCGGTGGTGGCACGTGTTGGCGGGGGACACGGGGGTCGAAACCCCATGAAGAGTTTCGCGCCCCTTCTGCCCTTCAGCACAGGGGCGGTGGAGGCACGTGTTGGCGGGGGAGACGGGGTCAAAACCCCACTTGAGCAAACCGAAAGATTTTCCCCTTGAGGCCCAGATGACAAATTCGAAATGTCGTTGGCTTTAGCGGATGCGGACGCAGCGATCATATCGCGCTCGCTTCGAGGTGGGGTGCGGCATATGTTATGGGAGGCAGCGGGAGTTTGCCAGGCCCGGTGTGGCGCTCGAGCGCCCGCATGTTATGGAGGCTGCGGGAGTTGGCCGGGGCAGCTGTGGCGCTCGAGCAACGACATGTTATGGGACGGGTTCGGAGAGGCGGCCAGGCCCGCGGTGGCGCTCGAGCTCCCGACTTGGGCACCGCGGTCGTTTTCCCTCCTCCTCCCTCCTCCCTCATCCGCCTCTTCCGGACTCTTCGCTTGCCCTCCACCTCTTTCTCGTCTCTCCTCTTCGTCCTCGTCGTCGTCCTCTCCTTCCTCTCCGTCCTTCCTCCCTCGACTTCCTCTTCGCCCGCCCCTTGTTTGTGCTTCCATATTTGTCCCAGTGCGTTGTGTCTCTCGGTAGGGAAACCCCTCCC